GGTGGTGAAGGTTTCAGGAGTCTTAGGGAACTCCAAACCCAATTCCAGCAAACACTGAGTGCGAAGCATCCGAAGCATAGGGAGTTCCCGCAAGAACCATGGTCGTGTTTCCTGTGTTCGCCTTGCTACTTGAGTTTACAACGACCTGCAGATCCTTTGCCGGAACCCTTAAGCCACCAACCGCGAACTGCGAACCCCAAAAGCCCTGAAGAATTCGATTCGAAACACGAAATTCCCTAAATCCTAGAGTAGAAGCAAGACATGTTGACATCCGGATCCTGATGACCTTCAGGTCAAGTAAGGGCAATCCCAACATATTTAAAGACTCACCCAACTTTTTTTGGTGCCTCGACCAGATTGTTTTTTCGAAGGTGGTTTCGGCGGCTACGCACCCAAAGGACTGCTACCTCAAGCCACCTGCCGGCACGCAGCTTTTCTCGACGTTTGCATGAGGAGTTACGAGTTAAGGAATGAAGATATCCACTGTGTGTTCCATCTACAGTTTCGGGTCAGCGGTCAAGCTGGTTCTAAGTTTCCGTCATACTGGGCAACCCGGAAAGCCGCTTGCGGTTTCAGACACCCGGCCCTGATGAGCCGGACATTGGTTCCTAGGGCCAGGGAACCCAAAAACTAAGTGTCGGAAACCCTGAACCTTAAGCCCTCCGAGCGTGAGCCCGGAAAGCCGGAAGCCCCAAACCTCTGACATGGGGCCCCAGTGGTCATTCTTTGTGGGTGTTTAGGGCTACAGGGCCCAGAACGGAGAGCTTCCCCATCAGCGCCCGAGCCTTGTGCATGGACGGTTTAGGGTTTAGGGCGCAGCTTGCGCCTCCATCCTGGCAGTTACTTGAGAAAGTCTTCGGTGTACAAGAAGACCCCCTTAGATTTCCACGTCTTCTCCCTAAGTAGGTGGCGTGTTCGACAGCTAGAAGAACTATGTAAGGTAAAGTTTAACTTTGTGCAAGTGTATGGGTCCGCCTCGAAGTTCAGGTGAGGACGGAATGGGCTTTAGATTCCTGCAGCTTAAAGTGTAGAGTCTTCAAGTTTAATGGGTTGGGCTTTGCAAACAACTGTTCGTATTCCCGCAGTGGGGCTGCCTCGGAGAACAGCTTGCGGCTTCGGGTCTTTAGTTTGTCCAACATCTTGCGCGTAATTGAGCTTGAAGACCTTGACGACAAATACTTTTAGCCGAAGGTTTTACCGACTTTGCCCTAGAAACTTGACTCGACAGCCAGCACGAAAAAGAATATCCAGGGCTTGTGGGGTTCGATGTCTGGCATATATTAGTTTGGTGTGTGGGTGGGTAAGGGTGGCTCTACACTGACGGGATTGTCTACAGGTCTGCTTTTGAAGGCCCCTGAACACTAAACCCTGAACGCCAAGCACTACAAACAGACGTTGCTTCGAGGTTGTGGAAGCTGAGCACCCATGAGGTCGGTCGATGAGTTGGTTTTGGGGTGGTTTGGGAGAGCCCTTGCGGTTTGACTGGACTCCTTTCGATCTTCTCAACCCTTAAGCTCGTTGCGAACAACATTTCGTGGCCATGAGAGAGCTGCAGTCCATTGGTCGGTCTGGCCTGGTCCAGGAGCCCGTCGACATAAGAGCCATTGTCGGCTCAAAACCCTGTTCACCCTTGGATCCCCGAGACGGCAAATGGATGTTTCAAGTGGTGTGTGCTCTGCATCTACCAATGTGTTGGCAGTGGCACAAAGATTTCCACCCAAGCCACCACCCCCTAGGTCGTGAACGATGGGTTTTTGTTTGTGGTCCGCGTGATGTTCTTGTTTTGGCAAGTGCCCACACACTTTTGGTGATGATGGAGCTGTTCTCATCACCGAGGGTGCACGTCCACGCGATGCATCGGATGCAATACCTCAGTAGTTCGAATTCCATCCGGAGCACGTGTTGCCTGTGAACTTTGTCTGGTGTGCGGCATTGCCATGCGGGAGAAGGGGGGATTCGACGAAATAACTCGCCATTGGGTTTGCAAAAAGGTGGAGAGGACTCAGAGCAAGAGTGTGCGAGACGGCGAGAGCACAACAGTTTCCAGCTGGCACAAGTCCTTCGTTTCTCAGCAACCCATATTGTGGATTTCAACCGACAGCCTGAAGAAATCGAGAGGATGGGAAACGAGATAAAATCATACTTTGTGACAGCACACGGCTGTAGTTTTGTGCAGGCGCTACGTGTTGGCATGCCCAAGTATCTTATGAGTTGAAGAAACATGGAGCTGATTTCATGGACAGTTGGGTGCAAGCGTCCCCCGCAAGCTTCAGTTTGGGCCGGCCACATCGTGTGATCAAGAGCGGTACAAGCCGGATCAGTTGGATGTGCCCCTCTAAAATACTCGAAATTCATGTAGTGACGGCGTCCACAACCGCACGTGACGGGAGTACTCAGGGGAGCAATATGTGCTGGGTAGACGACAGTGCCGATGGTGGGCGGTGGTAGACAAGGAGACGAGATTTGGAGGCTTATTTTAGTTCACCGTCCTCCTACTGAGACGGGAGCTATGTTTCTTCAACTATCTCTCGGTTTGTCTTCGGGGTGGGTGCCATTCACCGTGACAGCTTTTCTCAGGTAGTCAGTATCTTGTTCTTGGTTGTCTTTGGGAGTGACCGTGGGCCAAGCATGACGCAAGCAACAGTTCACACATGTGAGCTAACTTGACTACGTGAGGTTGTGCCTCGGTCATATGATTTGCCTGGGGCAAGGTGTCCTAGGACTATTGGTAAAAGGTCAGTTATGATGCTTGGCCCCCTTGCAGAGACGATTGTAGCTGGTAGACGGGTGGTCTGTTTTAGCTTCCTGTCAATTAGTGTTTTGCAGCCGAGAGCTTTGACAATCAAAGCTACGCGTATTTTGGATGTCTTTATACTTGCGGGGTTAAAAGTGCGGCTCGAGGTTTCATTTCACCACTTCAGAGCCGCCTACACACATGCCTCGCCTGGAGAGTACTGGAAACTGTGCCGAAAACCTTTCTCTCCAAAGAAAGCCTGAACGCCCAGACCCAGACGCCAAACAAAATTTGAGCATTGGAATTCACAGAAACGGATGTCCTCTAGCATACAAAACAGTGATACCAGTGCTACCAACACAATTGCCGGGACCCGATCATTATAAAACAGCCCAATGTCTTCAGAGGCCTTTACAACCAGCTAACTTCGTCATCCGGTTAAGTTCCTTAAGTTCATTAGGTCACATGCAAGCCCCGAGCTTACCTGCCATAGTCCAGTGCACGCATCTACCCCAAGTTAGGCCATCATCCCGGCCCTTGAACGGTTCGGGGCTGAAAACCCGGCTGTGACCTTTTGAAAACAGAGCTCTAAGAGTCACCAACTCGAAAGCCGCCTGGGCCATTGACGTGAAGTAGGGTTTACATGACGGTTGTGGTGAGCCTGAATCGGGCTCCTCGAAGGTTGGTGAGTGCACATTCCCTGCTTCATTGTTGAAATTGCCTGCAGAGCAGAGTCGTCTCGACGCTGACAAGTGGGAGCCAAAAAATTGTTGAAATTGGGAAGTTTTTGAAAACTATGTTTCTGCGAGAGGCTGGTTAGCAAGCAGCATCGTCCCGTTTTGCATACATAGACGATATTCTGTTAAGTTTGGGCATCTACACATGCAGTGTTAGGGGGCCCGGCCACAGGCCTTAGCATCAATACCGCTGGCAAGCAAGAACCGTCCTGAGAAGCCAAGCTGCTTGTGCCCCGGCCTAGGGTTTAGGGTTTAGGGTTCAGGGTAAGTTCTGAGATGCAGATAGGGCCCGGGCTGCATGCATCAGCTTCCTCTGAAGTTACGATCGGGTTCCTGCTGAAGGGTGCTGCGGGCGGTGCGGTCGGCTCCCTTCGATACAACTAACGAGTCCATCAGCCCTTAATAAGGACCCGTAGGTATACCCTTAATATAGCTATTATTATACCCATTATATAGCCCATTGTAGGGTAGGGGTCCCCATTGAGGGTCCCAGTCCATCAGGATACAGGGGATTTTCGGATCCCAGCGAGGCCACTTTGTCGGTCAATTCAGGAATCTTCTCAATCATGATGGGAAGTGTGCTTAGGAGGTTGTAAGCTGTTGGTAGTCTGCTCCTTTGTTAGAGGGATCTCCTACGGGCTCAACGGGTAGAGGAATGGAAGCCTAAGGCGGAGGTCCAGGGTTACAGGGTTCGCAGCTCCGTAGGATGATTCAATTCTGCCGAAGGTGAAACGAAGGAAGGTTAATCAGGAAGCTTCCATGTTTTTTTTGCGATCCCCCCAACTAGCACCATCCCACCTTTGGAGACTCCATCCAATGCTTGGTTTGCCTTTTCAGACCCCCAACCCTGCGCACAGCAAAAGCAAGGCATCTGCATAGCTGCATTTGCAACATGAACCTTCAGTGTGTACTCCACTTCAATAACTGAAAACTTTTGACTTGTCTTCGAATGAAACCGGGCGATGGAGACCCGAAAGTCAGCAGTTGAGGCTCATAAGATCGCTGGGCGCCTTAATCGCGGCCTCCCTGGACGACGGCACGCTGCCGGTAGCGGACCTGAATGGTGCCTTGTCAGAGAGCAGCAGAGGGCCGCCGAAAGTGTGCTTTCTCTCTTTGTCTCTGATCGCTACTGCATGATGACGAGCTTCCGGGCGTTTATGTAGATGTCAGTTCTTTCTAGCTGATGGCAAGATACTGAACATCATGTCACCGATGCTTGGGAGGAGGATTATGATGGTCCGGGTAAGGGTGCTGGTGGTAGTCGCGCACACGAGGACCTGACAAGGAGATTTGGGCGACGTCGACTCGTGATCACTATATGGAGGTACTGTTGAATAACTGCAAGGCTTGAAACCAACTCCACAGCATCGCTCAACTCAGACGGCACGCGGACCAGCGAGCGGCGGAAGCACTCAGGCGCGAGCCCCTTAAAACTCTAAGCTAGGAGGCAATCCGGCATACACTGCAACCTCTCGGGTCCGGGAACCAAGAAAGGTGCAGCTGTGAGGGTCGAAGCTCTGGACCCAGGAATGTCGGTGGTGCGCTCCTTCGACTGTGGCGTTCCTGCCACCGAGCCCTTCCTGACATAAAGGCGTGTGGAGTTCGTGGGGTGTATCTGATGTATTGTTGGTTTGTGCAGTCCCGCTTTCTGCACGCTCGAAGCCTGCATGTGGGTAGTTCTCGAGACTTGGATCCTTCAGCGCATCCGCAAAGACTTCGGCACTCTCGCTGAAAGAGCTGGCCTCTGAACCCTAAACCCTAACAGCCTAAAGCACTGGACTTCGGATTGGCTAGATCTCTCCAGCCATAAGTGGGAGATTTCTGTGTGTTTTGGAGTAGTCTACTGATGCTACTGTTGGTCATGCAATGTCATAACAGAAACTATTATAATACATCATTACGGGCTATGTGTTTTCACTTAATTTCTCTAGTATCTCATACAAAATTCTCGGCTCTACCCGTTCCTCACCCCCGAATCATGTCCATGTAATACTCCTCAGGACATCTCCTTCACCTCGGATGGTCGCTGGCTTGCTGCATCCTTGCGTGATGGTGGCCTCCGCAGCTCGGTTAGTCAAGGCCTTGACTTCGAGGGCCCTCAGGGATGAGACGACTTGGGGCCCTGAGGTCTTCGGGTCTCGATTTGGGAGTTTCCGAAAAGAAGAGGGGGGTACCTTATTCTGGGTCCTTATAACAAGGATCCTACTATTTAGGGTGCTATATTAGGGTCCTCTATTTTCGGAAACTCCCATTCGGGGGCGTGATTGAAGGGCTTTGAAGTCTGGGATCTGCCCCTTTGCTCTCCCATTATGGCTAATGAGGCGCGACCATGCGCAAGAAGATTCGACACGATTTGCCCCGGGTTCAATCCGCTTTGTGCTCGGGGGCCCTGATTCTTTGAATTGTGTCTCCTGGCATGGCTGTATCGCACTGTACAAGGCTCATCCTTTCGCGCTGCTACTGCTATTGCAAGCATCCCTCGCGATCAAAATCAAACCAAATCTGGCCGAAGACTGCTTAATGCCGAAATCCATGCTTAACATCTTGCAACGCTGGATGCTTCCCTTAACCAGGCGCCTTGAAGCGTAAACCCTGAAGCTCCTATCCCCGTTTACTTACTTTGAAATCATTGTCTGCAGAGCCAGCAGTCCCAAGTTCCTGCAGCACCTGCAGCCTGTAGTCCTGCTGGCTTAAACTTAAGGGTTTAGGTGTTTAGGGTAATGTAGTGCACGGGTTCAAAAAGGGTAGTGTAGGGGTTCTTGCGTTGCCTGTGTGTGACCATGTCTGGAATTTGCTTGAGCACCTGCCGGGATTCATGATGGATTCCGCCTGTCGTCCCCAGTGAGGTGTCAAGGACCTCAAATCTCAAACCTTGTAGTGGCAGCCTACTTGAGGAATCAGGAGAAGAAGTGAGGTTGCAATACACAGGCAAAGCTCGGCGATCTCGACTATGGCTCTTATCACTCTGCTCGGTTTTACGTACAGCATCCCCAGTTATGGTACGTATAACCCTTCTTCTACCCCAGCAGCTGAGTCCTCCTGGGCCTCTAAGCGAGGCATCTTCGATCTCCCGGCTGCGCGCTGCATCGACTCCTTTGTGCCGCCTGCCTGCAGCGCATGAGCTGGCTACTGACAGAGAAAGACATGCTGATAGATAGAGGCTTAGATGATAGGATAGCAGTTTTAGATGGTTTAAGCGTTAAGCTCTCAAGAGTCCATGATAGGATACAGACAGCCTTGTGGAGTTAAGGGCGTTTCACGCAGTACTGCAACCCCTTAACCCCTGCCTAGAAGACCACGTTTCATGCCTTAGGTTTCAGGCTGTGGACTGGTTCCTTGTGCCACGTAGGCACATTGTGAGATGACACTTTCATCATTCGGCGATCAGTTACATACACTCTCGACCTAAACCCTGCAACGCCTCGGCGAGCAAATTGAAAGATGCGGAGAGGGCCCTGTCAAAATGACTCGAAGCAGCTTCCTCTCATGCCGAAAGTTTTTGAACTCCAAAAAACAAACCTCAACCTAAAAAGCCCTCGCCTTTTGCTCTTTTTTTGAGGTTCTCTCAGCCAGCTTTGGGGCTCTGCTTCAGCCAGAGCGGCGCCTTTCTGATGACCCTGGGCCGAAGCCAAAACCGGAACCCGGTGAACTTCCAGTCAGTGGGAGTTTCCGAGAATAAGGGGGTACGGGGTACTAGTACCTTATTTTGGGGATCCTTATAATGGGGGATCCTACTATTTATGGTACTATATTGGGGTCCCCTATTTTCGGAACCTCCCAACGTCGTTCTGGGCTTTTTGCCGTGATCTGGCTTCGAGGTCCCGTGAAGGAAAGATGAGTCCAACTCGAAGACCTCTAGATAGAGTCTAGGGGTACGTGCCATGTACCCAAAAAACAGCACCAAGGAGGCTTTAGGCGATTGTTTAGGGTTCAGGAGTTTGGGCTTCTGCTGCCTGAATGAAAAGCACCAAACACCCAACCGGGGGTATTAGGGCTTCAGGCTCACGGATAGCAGCTTGAACAATAGTGTAAATCAACACGAAAAGCTAGCTTGGCCATTCAGGTATTTGTATTACACCGGGGAAGAGTAGCTGTCGCGACACTCATCGAGATAGTTTTCGCGTCGCAGCAGAAGTAGCAAGAAGACACGGCCAAAACCTCCAGGAACAATGAAAAGACGAAGCAGGACTCCCACCCCAGTGAGAACCTGAAAATCAGCACGAAGTAGCGACAAAGTACAGCGGTGATACAGAACCTGGCAACGAAGATGACCCGAAGTGTGGAAGAGCTACGACGGAGAAAGATTCAAGAATCAGTCCTAAGCACTTCGCCCCGGCTCAGGACGACGCATGCCAAGAACAATGCCATACAAGTGTGGGCCAACAAGCTGCTCTCATGCACTGGGCAGTTCCTTGAGCATCCAACCACGAAATCCCAAACCATTCATGTAGTATTATAGTAGTATAGTATTATAGTACTAGAGTAGTAGAGTATTATAGTATAGTAGTATAGCATTAGAGTATTAGAGTATTATGGTATATAGTAGTAGAGTATTAGAGGATTAGAGTATAGTATCAGCCGGAGCTTCCACTCAGGTTCCTCTTCGATCCCTCCCTGGCGGCTCCACTCCTCCGACCCGAGCCTGAGGCAGATTGCATCAGAGGTGAAAAGTAGATCCCTTAATGGGGGTTCCCATAAAGTAACCTTAGTAGTATAGGGCCCCAAATTAGGGGATCTTCGCATTAGACCCAGTAGTCGAGTAGGTAACCTTTAACCATTTTTGGGGGTAGTATCGTCCCTATATTAATCATTAATCCCTATATAATCCAAAAGGTAGAGGTCCCTTAAGATTTGATCAGGAACTTGTCGGCGAGCATACGTTTCTGCCAGGAGGCTTCTTGATTCAGGAATGCTTTAGTTTGAGGGTTAAGGTCAAAGCGTCACGGGCTAGGAAGCGACCCCCCAAACCCCAGTCTTCAGGCTGCATCATTTGAAGAAGCCATGTGTGTGAGGGCTGATCAGTTTAGTTGTTTCTGGTTGTAGGATGTGCATGTCCTGAGCGTGCATATCCCAGAGTGAACTGAGTTACGAGGAGTGGTGGTAATCATGGTCGTGTCAAGATCCCAAGTCATCCTTTAGATGTCGACGGCCGCTTCGCGTGCACCGCGCATATGTCGAGCCTTTTCCCTCATTTTCAATGTTTCATTTGCTGCAAGTGACCCCACCATGGACCATCCCGCGCCCCCCTTGCTGAGGCTTCGCTGCAGCTTCTAGAAAGTGTGAAGCCCATTCGATTCTTTAACGTTGTTGCAGACGACCCTCTGAGTCCCTGACACGGACCCTGCCTTTCTGTTGAAGCAAGGTCTCCGTCAGTGCAGAACTATCATGCGTCGATTCCGTCGCCGTTTCGGGCTCACATCAATTCGTTGTGACGACTATCTCGACTGCATTCGTTTCGGACTCGCATCCATGCCCACGCTCAGTCTCCCTCTCACCTCTTTGCCACAGCCGTGGCAGAAGCAATTCGGCACTGCGAAATGCCTCCGAAACAATCCTTGTTGCGGCCCGCATATGCACCGATGCAAACGGACTCGCATATTGCAGAAATCAGACAAAAGAAGCTGCATCCCACGCCCGCCAATGCTCGCGCATCCAGTGTGTCTAGTCGCCGGACAGCTGCTTTGTTGAACCGTTGTGGAATCAGGCCTCAGAGGTAGTTCTCAGACGGAACATACTTAATTTCAGCTGACATGACTGCTACTGTATCGATGGGTCTTATATAGGTCCCCACCGAGAAAACGCTAAACTCCTGCACCCACAGATAGCCACGATTCCGAAAGCTAATCGAGGCGCCGATCAATATCGAGGAGCCAGGATGTTCAGCGGAGGCCTGGACAAGTTGGATGCCAGTTTGGACATTGAAAGGTGGTCTGAATAATGTGCTTCCAGAATGCCACGTCAACTACAGTCCATACATGTATACATACTGTACTATGTCATACCCCAAGACACCACTCTAGACTCTAGGTATTAAAGCACTTACATGACTTCTAGGTCCGTGGCGTTGAGCATGTAAGATACACAGCCACGGCGCAGGGCTTAGGATTGGGAGTTATGCGGCTTAGGTCCTGCAGTTAAGAGTTTAAAGGCAAAGGGCGTCGACTTGAGAGCCGAGTTGTGGAATTTTGGGATTTGGTTTCGGCTTTTGTCCTTCACAGCTCCGGGTTCGATAAGCCAGTATTCGGTGTTGGAGCGCCGTCATTTCCAAGCAGGGAGCAAAGGTTTCCGTTGCAGCAAGGGGGTCAGATCCCATGGTTATGATAATTCATGCTTCCGTTATCGTTGCTGCTACCGTCGCGGATGACACTCGCTGTCGACACCGGTCTCCTCAATCGCCCCCGCTGAGCGTTCTGTATCCTACAGTCTCAAACCCCACGGCTTGAAATCCTAAACTCAACGAAGTCTTCGCAAGAGCCCTAAACCAGGAGGACGAGGCAGCTCCAGCAGAAGAGGCTCAACCGTGCACAATCTTTGTCTGATTGCAGCGACCGAACTAGTTGTAGTGTTGGGGCAAGTTTGGGGTCCGGCGGCTCGAGGAAGTAGGGGTTTTGGTGTCAGGGGGCTTGGGCGACCGGCTTAGTGCTGTCAGTTTAGGAGATGTAGAGCACAGGATGGTAAATGAATTCCAGGGTTCTGATCATAGGACTACCGCAAAAATGAAGGGTTTTCAAAAGCAGGATCTCCCCCCATACAGCGTACCGAAAAGGGCCCATGTCACCATCCGCCGCGCGAAGGCATGTCGGCTTCAGGTTCGAAAACAGGGGTCACAGCTGTTTCTTGTTTTGGGTAAGATGAATGCTAGAAACTGCTAGTACAACTGATGGGCTTGTCAGTGGCTTCGAACAACGACCGAAGTACGATGACCGTCGGTACCTCAAGGCCAGTGGCACACTGTGTTCCCGCTTACCCTCTTTACTGTCGGTAGCATCTGTTGCCAGGGAAGGGAGAAATCGTGGCGTAAAAGGGTTGACGAAGAGCCTCGCAGGAGGACGAACAATGAGAGGCGACGAGGTTCAGGTATCAGGGCTTACGGGCCTGTGTGAAAGTCTAGGAACAAGCAACCAGTACGCGCACTCCACGGCCAGGCGGAGGCAAAGACTGCCGAGTTGGCCTCATCGACGGAGCCCTTGGCCACGTGTTCGCAGACGAGTCAGTCAGGTCTTCCGTTGGTTCAGAGCCGAGTTCATGGTTTGTGAAGGAGTGTCCTGAGAGATGTTCAGCTTTTATGGAGGAGAAGTCGCTTCCACTCCTTGTAGAACACTCGCGGGCTGTTCTGTGTGATGTGGCCCTTACCCAATACTCTTGAGCCTACTGCGAAAAGAAGCCCCTTCCAAGACCCCAAGCGGCAAAGCCCATGTTTTCAGTCTTAGAGTGGAAAAACTTGGCTTCCCGAAAGCTGGTGGGAACTGGATCGTGATATTCGGGCAGAAGGCTTAGGGTGGCGAAGAGACTAGGGAAAAGGGATGAAGCCAGCTCCAGGTTCAAAGAAGCGATGAAGTCAAAATGCTTTAGAAGCTTGGTGTGCTAGACCTTCGACCCCGGTTGGATGCCTTAGAACAGAGGTCGATACTTCAAGACTTCTGCATGCAATGCCATGCTCCTCTGGAAACAGTCGAGCGAACATTCCTCACTCAGGTGCAAATCATTTTGCAGTTTCTGTGATGACGACACCACAAACAGTCAATCAGTCGTGTCTTTATTTAAGAAGAACTCCTGATGTTGAGAAGCCTCGCCCCCTGCCCGCGCTGCACTATAAAAGAAGCCGAGGAGACCAGTCTCCTGACTCTCTCTGACGTGCCCCCGGCGAAAGTCCTTGCTACGCTTCACTTGGACTTGGTCAAGGCCCGCCATTGCAGATTTGTAGGGATGCCCCGGGATGCCTTAGAAGGGGCCCTCACCCTGTAATAGTGGTATAATAGGAATATAATAGGGCCGTAATATAATCCTTTTAGTCACTATTACAGGGTGAGGGCAGCTTCTAAGGGATGCCTGTAAATTCATGGACTCCCGAATTCTCAGCTCTGGCTTCAAGGCTCTGTGTACAGTGGCTGAGTTAGCAGCGTATGCACACCTCATCGCTGGGGGTTAGGGGAACTCACATGTAGGGAAGCGGAGCAGGTCTTGCTGACTTTACACGTTCACGAAGAAGAAGACAGTTGGCCATCTCATCGCCGGGTGCGGCAGCCGTCATCATCTTGATTTTCATCCTCAGCATTGCTACCTGCTACCACTACCATCAGTATCATCTCCATCGCAGTCATCACCCGCGCCATCATCAGCATTACAGCCATCAACATCGCCACTGGTAGAAGTCGCCGGTACTAAGAAAAGAGCGACAAGGAGCAAACGTCTGCGTTGCATGTTCCAGTATAATGCCAAGGGAATCAGCAAGGAACCTTGACGCTTCATGACGGTTCTACAGTAGTTCTGCCTTTTTATTCCGGGAAGAGAGTTTAGGGTGTAGGTTTCAGGGCTTTGTACTTGGAGGTTTGAAGCACGGCTGCTAAGGACGTCGTGCGCTAGCCCGGTAACCTGTGCAGCTCTGCTTCGGAGACTTCTGATTGGATGAAAAGGTAGAGATACGTCATACCTGGGTCGCGCGTACCCTAGGTTCCATCTGCAAAGCTCGGTCACGGCACTCTTTCTACCCTAATGCGAACTTGGCTTTCTGTCTTCGCTCGATGTAGAAAAGGTTGAACTTTGTTTCGGTCCGGTTCGTGACCAAGTCTGCAGCAAAGTTCCGGCCCTCTCGCGTCGCTGAGCCTGTGCAGGAGCGGAACAAGTTGGCCGAGCCGCCGAAACCACTGTTGCTGGGACCTGTTTGCTTGGTGTCATCTTGAGCCTCACTTCAGAGTCCCCATAATCAGAATCCTTTTACTTTTCGTGCAGGCATAGTTGGGTTTCGGTGTTTATTTTGTCGACCTGCGACCCTTCTTTTTTGAAGGGGTGGGGCCCGCACATAAGCACAAAGGTTAGCACAAATATGTGCAGCACCCGAAACCTCAGTATAGATGATGTATCCTTGAGGAGCTTGTTCAGGCTTTCTCCTCAGGGGTAGGACTTGCAGATCATACCTCCCGAAGAAGGGGTAAAGATGAGGATGGTTACAGTGGCCACTGAGATGCCGAAAGGCCTTGGTTCAGTGTAGTTTGTAGTTTATATGGCTTAGGACTCAGGGTTTCTGAGTTGTATGTTCGGCTCTTGAGCTGGTGATTTACATTTTAGGGTTCAGGGTGTCGGTGGTTTGCTTTATGTCTTAGGGGTCTGTGATTTTAGCAGTTTTGGGGGCTGTAGTAGGGGTTTGTGGGGTTTGCGGTGTAGCGGATTGGGTGAATGAAAAGTGGAGGAATCTAGAGTTGGCTGCTTGTGAACTGCCTTTTTTATAAAAACATGTCACTTGTTTGTGAATTGTTTTTATAAAAACAGCTTATAGCTACTATTACTACCATTCTTCCATTCCCTACTAACCAAAGGTAAGATTCGCGGCACAAGCTGAGGCCGAATGCGCCCTTCTTCCTTCCCACCGCGCATGAGGCGGAAGCCTTTGGAAGCAAGAGGAACGACATACTCGGCTACCGTTACCGTACATGCTAGCAGGACGGCATGGACTTCAGAAAGAGAGATAGGCACAGATTTGGGGCGATGTTGAACTTTCCTTTCTTGGTTTGGTGGCATGCTTTAAATTCCCTAGTCGTTTAGGCAGAATCTTAACTATGACAAGTATAATTCAGCATAAGATTGAGAGCTGTCCAAGTTGACACCCGACATTGGACTTTCCGATTGAGGGGCCCAATCAGTGGGATCCGTAATTTTTGGAGAGACAAAACATGTCGCTAACATCTTGTGAACGCAATTTGATAAATAAGAACGAATAGGGCTTGAAATTCACGGCTTGTTGGTACATGTCACAAAGCCGATGTTTATCTACCATAGCTGAATGTTCCTCAACAAATGCGTCCACCTCCTTCATGTTCCGAAGTTTAAACACATACAGTGAGATTGAGTTTAAGCGAATAAGTGGTGCAACTGCGTTGTATTTTTGTACCGATGTTAATACACTGATGGCCTTATGTCTTGATTTGGTGTATAACCCATGCAAAATTTGCGAGTATTTCATAAAACGTATATAGTCAGCAAAGTCGTCAATGACAATGAGTATTGAAAACAACTTGCGTTCCTTTTGTTTCTTTTGGATTTCAACTACCTTATGTTGAGTATCAATAATTTGTTGAAGCGCCGATGGATTGTAATCATCATACAGGTACCGTTCTTTCTCATTGTCTACCTTTCGAACATCAGTTATGTATTTTTTTACAGGTATCCAGTTGTCATCAACTGAAGCAGTGGGTGCGAATATGTACATCCTGTCAAACGCTCCTTTGTAGATCTTCAATATTAAGTTCTGCAATAAAATACCTTTACCGCCTTGGCTACTTGCACAAATGATTGAACGGAATGGTGACTTATCGGCTACATCAAACTTGGACTGATTGTAATCATACGACTTTGGCTCAATTGGTCCTACCGTCGAAATATCGCTCATTATTAATATTAGTTAGGAAATCATATGTTATTATAACTATATTGATGTTATTGAGAATAATGAAGAAATACAGGAAATAACACCACCCAAGTTTCGCAGGTGTTGCTATTCTTTCTTGGAGGTTTGCAAAGTCATGTTAGAATACTTTAAACAGAAAAGGAAAAGTAAAAATTGTACCTTAGATTAAATTACAGACAGTGAACAAGAAGAAGGAGGGTTAGAAATAACGTCTACAAGTCTGAGTTGTTTGCCTTGTTGTAGGCGCAAAAAGAACACTCACCATAAGGAAACTAGACGCACCAATGAAGACAACAAACAAACGATAATCATAGTTGAGGATAGGAGCAGTTGTAAGGTCGGCCGCGGAGTGACTCCTGACAATAACATATTTAAACCAGACCAACCAGGAAGCATTCGTGTTTGTGACAAAGAAACTGAATTCCAATGAGATTAAGCAACCCAAGGAAGAAACAATGAGATATTACAATCTTGTCTATGATATAGACAAGAAGTTTCATTTTTGAACAGTTCAAGGAAAAAAGCATTTAAGGAAATAACGACTATATATATATATTAGAGTATGGGGACTGAAATGCAGAAATGCTTGAAATGCAACAGAGTCAAAGAACCCAGTCAGTTCAAAACTTGTGCGGTATGTAGAGAGAGAGAGGACGACAGAACCATACGAATAATAGAGAGGAGAGGAACGAGAGAAGGAAACTGCACCACGAAGCAAACAAGGAACATGACAGGGAAAGATGGCAAAACTACTATGCAGAGAAGAAAGATATAATAAACCAACAATAACGAACCGAAAAACAACCCTTAAAAATGCAAGGAACAAAAAGCTAAATACATTGAAAAGGTAAGGGATACTGTTATTACTTGTCCGCTGTGTGGCTATGACATTAAGAAATACAAGAAATCACAACATGAGAAAAGCCAAATAAATCAAAAGAACCTAGAATAAAGCCAAAGCAAAAGCAACACATCAACACGAACTTTTGATGAACACATACAGTTCCTTGAATCATTACAGCCCCTTGATGTAATTCAGTAATTGATACAACATAATAAAGCTATATTGCATCATCTACTGCCCCCAAGCCCCGAAACACCCAAAACCCCATAAATTCAATCAACCTGGGCTCGCCTATTGGGAAGATGGTCTTTGGATATACCCTATTTGATTAGGCTCGTGGAATATAGGTGTAAAAGTGTGGGGGGGGGGTATGGGTTTTGAGACCATCTTGCCAGCAGGCAAGCCCTATGCTAACTTTTAGAGGGGTGCTTCTTTTCAACAGATTGCTTTGAGCCCTTGCTTGATCCGCCCCTATACATCGATCAGCACTCCTCAGCTGTCCGCCATCCGGGAGGGCGTGACACCTCGCTTTGCCGCACCCTTGGGTGAAGAAGAGGGTGCCGAGGGAGCGCCTTGGTGTAAGAAGTGGCATGGTTTCTGCCATACAGCATTATAGGAATTGTGTCGGCTAGGACCTATCGACTGCAAGAACAGACCGTTTCTGGGCCGGGGACAAACGCGAAATATTCACACCCGCTTAAATTCAACACTTTGCGGCTCGGTGCTGTTATGGCTGCCCGGCAAGAACTTGACGATCAGTCAGGGCCTGTCCATGAAAGGGGCGTTATGTCCCTGAGCCCAGAACCTTAGTATGGATGACCGACACCCTCAAGCTTTGTCCTTTGGGGGTAGTCATCAGAGGCGTGTCTTTGTTCAGGGTCTTGCCCCCTTGCAGAACAAAGCACTTCGCCCCGGTGATTACTCACTATAGATTCAGGAGTATCCCATCATTGAGTACGGGACTTCCTAAGGGTGGGTATGTTCAGTCCGGATGCCGGACACAGTTCACATGGTCTTGTGGGGAGGCCTTCGCTGCATTGGTATGTTGTTGAACCAGTTTTCGGCCATCTAGAGATGCAGCTGAGATCACTAAGGCTGGTCTCTTGGAGCAACGGGAGTTGCAGAATGATTCAAGAGTTTAGGATCTCTGGTGTGGTAGCGCGGCGCTTTGGGGGCTCGACAGTGAAACACCATCCTACGCCACAACTGCAACATGCTCACAGGTGCAGGCTTTCTAGTTTCAGGGGAGTGTTGTTCCGGTGTTGCCCCTAACCCTTCCCTCTTCGCCACAGCGTTCTTTTGACTTCGGGATTACTCTCCCGGCCCAAGGAAGCCAAAGGAAAGGAGCAACATGGCTCGCAAAGCTCACGGGGAACCCCGAGCTGAAGCCTTAAGCATTCCGGAACCCCGGGCCCGCTCGTGGTGACTCCAAACGGGTAGCGGACCATAGGTGCGGTGTTCTCTAGCAGCCTTTCATCTGCGGCGGTGCGAGAGGCAAAACCGCTGGTAGTCGAAGATCCCCTCGTTACAGGCTTTAAAAAACGGCTGTCCTTTCGGGAGACCCCCTGTCTGCCCGGTGATCCCCTGAAAAATAGCCCATAGAAGACATGAGGTCAAATTGGCAAGTCTTGAGTCTTCAGATTACTGGATCTGCTTTCTGTGTAGACCCCGAGAAGAAGACCCGAAGTGTTGAATTTTACTTGGTAGCCAGCATTGTGCAGTTTCAGCTTTAGACAAGCTCCGTGTGCATTACAAAACCCCCTGGTAAGAACAGTGAATAGATGAGATAATAGATGTTAGTTACACTTGGGATACAAACATGATCATCAACGTTGTTCAATCGAAGCCGAATACTTAAGATACCGAGTCTTGAGCTGAACAAGTAAATTTGAAAGTTTTGGATACCGGGTTTAGGTTCAGGAAGCAGTCTCCATTTCTCTCTGAAGTTGCCTGCAGGGGCCCTTCGGTTTAGGATTCCCTCTTTCGGGTTGTGAGTGAGCCACATCTGCAAACAAAGCCTTAGTGCCAAGCCTATATAACTTGTTCTGTCAATGGTACTTGTAGTTGTTGGGCCACGGCGTCGCGCTTTGCCTTTGGCATTAATGAAAGCAGAACAGCATAGACAGCCAATTGTCATAGCAATTGGACCACCGCTTGAAGCTCTACAGCCGCGTTTCTCGTGCTCGTAGCCGCATGCCGGACGACCACTGAGCCCTAAAACCCTTAAAGCCCCAAAAGAACAACCCAAAAGCCCCACAACGAGTCCGAGGGAAGAAGATCAGCGCCTCGGAGCCGCCCCCCCGCCCCCGAGCCAAGGCTTCCCGGCCGGCCCTCCTTGCTGGAGACTCTCCAGGCAGAGGCGAAAAACGAGCTCTCAGAAGGCGCCCCCTGCCACCCTGGGAGCCTGAAGTACACACTTGGTCTCCCGGATCACCGCTTTATAGTCTAAGACTCCCTAAGCCCTCGTCCAGGCGTTCCGGCCCCTGGAGTGTGTGTTCGGTCCAGGGTTAGTACGGTTTGGGAGTTTCAGAAGACCTTAAAAATTCTGTTCTTCAGTCGTCAGGTTTGATGCTCTCATGCAATGCACACCCAGACGTGTTCCAGTCATTGCATCCTTGGCAGGAGACACGGCTTAGGGATAGAAAGTGCTACTGCGCGAGCGATCTTTTTTGGATTCTTTAACCGTTAATGTCGTCGGAGGGACCCCAACAAAAGCCGTTTGCAATTGGTTGACGTCTTTGCAGAGTCGCGTGCAGTGACTTCGGGGTCAGGCAGGGCGAATACACTCCGAGGTACATGCCGGAGGCAATCTCTGCACACGCGGAGGCTTCATTCACTGGCAATGCCGCGGTGTCAAATGTTGAGGTTCGGAGGGCCCCCGACTGCACGGAAATAAATGCGGACCTACAGCCCGAATGACATGAACAAAAGCCGAAACATCAAACCCCATAACCCTCATCCTCAAGCCCTCGAAGAGCCCTTGCACGCCTTTCGAGCCCCGAAACCCTAAGTCTGCCAGGGCTCCCGTTCCAGCGGTTGCTGCGAAAGCGGCTGTTCGACAAGGCGAACCAGCGAGGGATTTGCTTCAGGTTTGGAGATTTAGGGCCAAAGGATCTTCGGACTTAGGGCGCTAGGGGTGCTAGGCTAGGCCGTCTTGAAAGCGGTGCTTCGTCTGATCTGCTTAGCTACTTGATTGCTCCTGATTGCCCGTTATACGTCCTCGGGTTTGGGAGCGGTGTGGCCATCCATGATATTTCGATTTAGAGGCTGTAAGGCTGTTGCTGTGGCTTGTGGATTCCAGAACCACAAACCCCAAGCCGAACGCCGTGCCAGACACCCAGAGCAGCGAAGCCGAAGACCTGCTGCCTAGAGCCTCTACCTCCCGCGAGCATCAGACCCGATCCTTGCAGGCATTGCAGCATCTGAAGGCGCAGACCCCAAGTGGCGTGCACCTTGCCATTGAGGCCTCGACGACATCGCGGGTTTTGTGCTTTGACACCGAACATTTCAAGTCGTTTCCCAAAGTTGGAACGTGAATGTCCATGGACCCTAAACCTTCCAGGGCAGCCCGGTGTGCCTTATAAAAGTTTTTGTGTGAATCCTTATTCCAACCATTTTTAAGTTCGCAACAAGTAACATTACGAATGGCGTTGTCGATATGCGGAAGCTGCCTGATAGGTTTAGGAATATTATCAGTCGTCTGCTGCTCGCATATGAACAGTAGTCTCAATACGCGCTGGCTGTCAGCATGCACCGGTATTCTTATTGCCAGAGATTCTTGCTCTTCTTATCTCAGCGTTGAACCCGGAAAGCCTGGTTCAGATCACCCCCGGTGGAGGAGCTGGGACCCCTGGCCAATGGAGACGTAGATGAACTGCGAGCAGGCCTGGGGAAGCAGAAGGGCGAGGAGAAGTTGAAGCTGCAAAGCTACAGATTCTCAACTCTGTAAGCCTGAAGCCGTAGGACGATCAAGAAGAAACTAAGCCCGGGGCTGTGACACACCTAGGGTTGCCTGAGTTGGGGATCCTTATCACAAGGATCCTACTGTTGAGGGTGTATATTGGGGCTGCTTGTCTTCTGAACACCGGGAGCCAGTGACTCACATTTCTACATGAAGCTTTGGGTTGCAAGCAGGGCTGCAGCATCGGAGCGTTCACTGAGTAGGCTTTTGGGGTGTAGGTCTTTGCAGCGTGGGGTTCTGTCTCAGGGGGGTGTGGCTTAAGGTTTTGAGTTCTTGATATAGGGGCCTAAACCATTAGCCTCAGTCACCCGGGCTTTTCAAGCAACTCTAATCTAAACGTCCTGAACACGCTCGCCCAATTCTAAGATTATTGAGGCTTCTCTATCAAGTTCCAGGGCTTCTGGGGTTTGGAGTCGTGTGATTCGGTTCTTAGTCTTTGGGTTCGGGGTTGCACTGCTGTGGTCTGGTTAAGAACTTCGGCTTTAGGCACGTGTGTGTGTCGGTGAGGGGTGTTGAGATCGAGGTAGTTGGAAGTCAGAGATTGATCTGGGCCCAATACTCCTTGGCAGCGCTGCTGTTGTTGAACATTCCCTGTTCCCGCGTCGAGACTACGCGCGACACACAAGATAAAGGGAAGCCGCTGATCCCAAACCCTAAAACCCTGGACTTGTCGCGATCAGTGCGATTGTCTCACAATTGAAACCTTAAAACCCAAGGCCCAAATCCTCGCACGACAGGTTTGGAGTTCTTCCAGCACCACATGTCCAAATCGCACTTTGCCGATGAGGTCTCCGTTCCGGGCCGGCGACAATGGCAATGAATGGATGGCGGTTTCTGGTGCTGGTTGAGGGAGCTGCTACCCAGTGGTGACCGAAAAACATGGCGAGGTCATGATGACCACGATGTTTCAGGGATGAGCGTGATATTTTGGGGGTTCCTCAAAAGCGAACCGCCGAAGAAAGGCCACTGCGACTGCAACATGCAAGGCCTCAAGATGAACTGATGACTTGACAGTTTCTTCAAAAACATGGTGAAGGATGTAGCGTTTGCGAGCCATGTGCCCTCATCTTGTGTTTGGTTCTACACCCAATGATGGTGATTGTGGCCGTACTGTTCGGCTTCGTTTATTCAGATCTGGGCATTAAGGTTCATGGGTTTTGGAACTCGGGTGGCGTCGAGCTCTGAGATTCAACTATTGCCACATTTCAAGCACAGCAAGCCAGTTTAGTTAGCCTTCTGTGTTGAGCCGAGAAAGCACCGCAAAGCCCTCCATCCCAACAGCCAAGAACGCCATGCGGATTTGCAACTCCAAAATTCCAAACCGGAATTCCTTCACTCCCCCGATCCCTCAAACCTAACAGCAGCGGACAGGTCCAGGCCTACCTCTCACTCTTCTTGTCCGCCCACGGCGAGGAGATCGCCGCGGCCGAGGACTGGGGCCAAAGCTCTTCGTTTCTCCTTTAGGGCTTCCTGTAGGATTTAGGGTTTTGGATTCTGCTTACTGTTAATCAGCAGTATTAAATGTCCCTTTACAGTTCCTGTTAGGGATCCAAGGAAGAAGGTGCAAGGTAAGCTCGAGCATGCCGGAAAAAAGAGACACATAAAGACGTAGACATAGATTGCTATGGATCTGGGATCTGCATAAGGATTGGAGGCAGACTTAGCTGTGACTGAGTCAAAAGTATTATACCTCAAAAATCGATCCTGCACAACTCCGCTTTTTAAGAGCCATATCCAGGAAGTTGTGCTTCTGGCTCTTTTGAATCCTGCGTACCCTTGGAAGCTGGACAAGGAAGCAGCTGGCAAGAAGGTGAGCCATCCAAACCTTGTGTGATCTTCGTGTGGTGCGGGGCAAACAGCAACCATACCCCGAAATCCCAATCCAAGCGGCAGACACGAAGCCCGAACCAGTCAGCCCCAGGATCCAGGTCATCGAAATCCGATGATCCTTAAACTCTCCAAATCTAAACCTTCCAACCCTGACTGAAGCCTTCATTGGCTATCAGGTAGATTGTCCGGGTAATGACGTTGTTCTTCCGCTTTTGAAGGATCTCAGATCCCTTTGCGCGCAGCTCGGCGCCACCCAGGACTTCAACGTACTGGGCTTCAGGGATTTAGGGTCTATTACAAGGGTTGCTAGGGCAGTAGGAATACTCAGAATACGCCCACGTGGTATGTTGTTAGTTTACGGCTGCAAACACAAACTACGGAACACTCTTGCTGCTCAGCAGCATGTTTGGCTTGCGAGACTTCGTTTGATTGCGCGGAGCTCTTTGTGCCAAGAGAGGCGCCGTGAGCAGCTTTAAAGGCCGGTCTGGTCAGCAGGGTCTGTCTGAGCTCCGAGCATAGTACCCCCACACCCTATGTATGGTCTTTCAGGGTTTAGGTGAGGGATTTGGGGGTTTCCGAAAATGGGGGACGCCAATGTAGCACCCTAAATAGTAGGATCCTTATTCCAAGGACCCCCAAACAAGGTTCCCCTAATTTGCGGAGACTCCCATTTAAGGCCTCTTTCAAGTGGACAGGAGAGATCTTGGAGCTCTCTAGCCGCACGGCGACAGCCTCGGAGAGCCTCTGTTTAGGCTTCAGGGCCTATCCCTCAAGTAGCTGAGTCTGAGCGTACATAATAACCTTCTCATGCCTTTTGGTGTATATAAGATGCTACTACCCTATATACACGCTCATACTCTAGACCCTCAGTCTAAATCCAACGCATGTGCCAGGTTAATTTTGTTGGGTCCGGGGAACACAGGCCTGCACCCGGCAGGGAGGAGTTCTCCATGCGGAGAAAATCGTGCAAGGCTCTACGCTCGCGACACACAAAGTTCGAACGTCCCCTGAGCAAGCTTTGCGGCTGGGGCATGAAAACTGGTCATCCACTCCCTGGCGTCCCTGCATCTTGAAAACCACACTGTGCTCCAAACCCTGCTCTGAGAGTTACAGCCGTTGCTGTGGTGAGTCGCGGTTTCCTTCTTCAGGAGCCGGGCCTTGAAAAGGTCCCACACTTCTGTACTGTAGGGGCCATAGTAAGTTAGAACATGGTTTACCGGGGCTGTGGCGGCAGCGGAGGGCTTCAGACGACCCTTTAGATAGTGCCGTCAAGCGCTAAACTAGGGTTTTGGGTGCGAAGAAATGACATTTCCAAATATAGGGCAGTGTAGCTTTATGCGGAGCATGAGGGAACATCACAGTAATTCGTTTTTCGTGCTACAACGAGACCTCCACAGAGCTGCAAGCCCGCTTGTGCAGCAATAGACGTTACATAGCATCAATGAATCAATGAGCTCGTCATAGTTTGAGGCATAACCATGCACCTTAGTTTTCACTGTGGGCTGAGGTGTCAGAAAGCGCGATGCTTTCTGGGAATGCTGACGCAGACGCAATCGCAATGGTAGGTTAATGGATTTCAGCTGGCCGAGGGTGCGGAGTTGCAGCCTAGCACACATGCGGCGGTTTGGTGTTTGGAGTTTGAGGTTCATCAATAAGGACTTAGGATTTGACACGAGTGCCTCCATCTCGAAGAAGGTTCTTCCAAATGGGCGCACTGTCGGGCACCTTGTACCAAAGGAGTGTGCTATTGCTGGACGCCCGACCCCAACCCTGCAGTATCCCTGAACTCGAAATCCTGCAGTGTCACGATGACTGCTGCTACTGTTTCTTATCGCTTTGCCTGTTCGCTTCACGTTTTCTACTACCACCTCTAGCTTGTGTCTTCAGTGACCGTGGCTGCTATTGGCATTGTCTGAAGATGTTGTTATTGCCATTGCATGAAGTCTTGCAGACCCTTGCCCCGCTTCTTCTCGGCTGCATCGTAGCAAAGGGAGACCTGGTGCACAAAGAATCCAGACTCCTGGAAGGACACCGAAGTTAGCAACCCGAACCTCAATGAAAAAAGCCCTACAGAAGCCCTACAGTGAAAAAAGCCCTACAGTATAGAGCCTCATAGGTGTGTGCCCCCCGGGGGTCTGGGAAGGCAGGAGAGGCCTCGCCCGACTCGCCTGGAAGATCTGGCTCGGGTAGCTGGTGGGCTCTAAACGGGATCAGGTTGGGTTAATATATATATATATATATATATATGGGTTATTCTAAAGGCTTTCGTGAGGGCTCGGTGCTTTCGACGGGGTGCTGTAGCTGTGGTGTGGTTGTCATGCGGTTTCATAGGGCTTGTTTATGAACGTTGCACCAGGATTTATGCCTGGCGGTTTGGGGTCAGGGTTCATCTTACTAAAGTATCTGTACCATAACACTCTCAAGTGGATGCTTTCAGAGAGCCCCACAAGATCGAAGAGCGTTGATTGTTTATGTTGCTATGACCGGGCTCCCGGCACTTCGTACGTGCTGCAAACTCAACTCACGCTGCGACGTCGTCATGAGCACTGGCTCTACGAGGTGTGATACTATTTGCGAACCCTCAAGCCCGACAACCTCAAAGCCAAAACCGCAAAGCCACGATGTACGATCGCTCAGACCCGCGATCTCAACGAAGGGCCCTCGCTTCATGTAGCTTTGCTGCTGATTGCCAAGGGCCGGAGCCTGCCGAGCATTAGTTTGCAGAAAAAGCTCTTGCTATTTTGCCTCGCAGCCAGAACCAGACATGTCTCACACAAATTGATCGCGCAATCGTAGGGAAATGTGCACACATGGAGAGTCGTCGCTTTGATGTGTAGATGTGTGTTCTCTAGCCGGGATTCGTCATGGCATGCTTTTAATACCTACATGCATCATCAGAAGGGTCTATATGCAGGTAGGTATGGACGAACTTTGTAAGTCTGCATGCCTATGTTAAATGTTGTGCACATATATATATATATATATATATACCTATACAAGCATCTAAATACATGTGTATCTATATAGATATGCATGTACCTTGTAGATGAATGTGCAAGTGCTCGTGGGTATGTGCATGTATGTGTGTGTACAGGAATGTATCTGCAAGCATATGTATGGATTGAGGGATGGATGGAGGAATGGAGGGACATACATGTGCACAAACGTATGCATGTTAGAGTGTGTGCATGTTCGTCTGTGCATATGTATGTATGGTTGTTTGCACGCATGCATGAATGCATGTGCATTTCTACGTTCGGAACTTTACGTTATGTGTCCAGGCATCCGTGTATGTCTCTACCTATCCATATCTGTAAATCAGTCTGTCTTTGTATTTGTGCGGCTTCCGTTGTACAGTACAGAGTGCACAAACTGTGGTAATCGTGCTTCTGAGAAGATAAGTGCCCCGTGCCGCCGGATCCTCATGCAAGAACCCAAGTGTAGCAGACATTGGCTGCAGATGGCCGCTTCCAGCACGTGAACATACATGTTTGGTTTATGGACATACCGCTGCGCCCGGTGTTCGAATAACTTCTTTGTACAGAACTCTCAAATTGCAGTAACGCAGGGACACAGCTCTAACGCCCTTTGCTTGCTGCCGGTCTGTTGCGGCGAAAACCCCACACTCTGTGCAAGGAGGGAGCCGAAGACGAAGACCAGGCAGTGGTCGTCAGGTTTGCGTTACACGGCTCATAGAGATGCGGGATTTGGCACAGGGTTTTATGCATTGTGGATTCGGCCTCCACTGTAAACAATGAGCACATTCAACCACACTGACGACAACTGCATGGAAGAAGAAGTGGTGGCGGTCATTGTGGTGTTGATGATGTTCTTGTTCTTCACAATGATTATGGTGCTGATGCAAGAATGCTTATGTCTACGATGAATAGCTGCTGATATGGCAAACAGACTTCTGCAGGTTTCTCCTTGAGATGTTTGGGCAGTTTTGTGAGTAGCATTGAAAGCTACTCATTCGGATGAAACTCGTACTTGTCGTCAGACCATGATGCCGACAGGTTTGAAGCTTTAACACATGGTACTCCAAAGCGAGACTTTCATGCGAGTCGAAAGCTGGACTTTCAGAAACAAGGGGATTTGAACATAGACTCTGTAAATACCCTGCTATTGGATTCACGCATTTGAGAACTCCCCCGGATGAGCGCTGCCTCGGTAGGAAGAGGAAGAAGAGGAAGAAGAGCGCCGCGCACCTACTGCGGAAGATCCAGGGGGGGCACTTCTTAGAGACCAAAATACCACAATTGCTAAGCTCCGGATTTGTAGCAGCTGACCCCGACCTGACGCTGTAGTCAACCCCTAAGGTCCAAATACCGCACTCAGAGCATAAAGGCCCTTGCTCGCCTCCAGCGGTGGCAACAGATGGGGCTCCGGGTCGAGAATTGGTTTTGGCAAGAGCCCTGCGGTATCCAAGCAACTCCTTCTGGGAGGAAAACATGGGAGTTTCCGAAAATTAGGGGTATTCTATTTGGAGTCCTTATAATCTAGGACCCAGAGTAAGCCCTTATTCCCTTTTTTAGGGTTCTGGTTCCCTTATTAAGCCCCTTCAAACCAAAAAGGGCGCCCTATTTATTCCTAGGTTACTCTTGGGTCTAGTAATTAAGGATCCTACTATTTAGGATACCATATCAGGGTCCCAGACCTTGCTAAACAGGGAATGTTGAGTTGTGCTTGAGGACACATTGGGCTCTTCCCTCCCGGCAGCGACTGAACTCCTCCCAAGGACGAGACCCGTGAGCATCAACTCGCGTATCTTTGCATCACTACTCTGTCTCAATCATCTTAGTTTGAACCAACAAACCCCAAACAAACCCCAAACACCACTTTCTAATCTTTTTCACACCCACGACTCTTTTCTGGGCCCTCCAGAGGCCGAGCGCCCCAAATCCCTAGGCCCAACCCTAAACCTCAAAGCCTACACAACCCGCAAGACGCGAAAGCTGCAAGCACCAACCGCTACGTACAGTGTTGTGGGAGAAGGACTCCCAGAGCCCTGCGCCCGCAACGCTAAACTTGTTTTCGAATTGCTCATCTTCAAACCGAAACCCTGAAGAAAGCCCTGAAGCAAAAGCTTGAAAAAGCCTTGCGAAGGTCCCATCTCTGCGCGCTGCCGCTTCTCAGACCCCGAGGCTCCTTTACGTCGGATTTTCTGCTTGGAGCTGAGCTCCCAGAGTTTATTCGAGGCTTTGGGTGCCCTTTTCCTAGGGTCCTTTCTTGCCCCTCAAGCAAGGGATTGGGCTTTGCAGCTTCAGTGTCAGGGGCTTAGGGTTCGTTTGTTAGGGCGTAGGATGTGATTCCTCTACGGCAGGAGCAATGTCATAATGCAGGGTTTGGGATAAACTGGTATTCCATCTTCCTTAGTCCTTGACATTGCTGGAGCAGTAATGGAGGCAGTGGTTGTCGAAGTCGTCGGCGTGGTCGGATAGGGTTTAAGGTGGTCTTGTGCCCTTCGAACAGGCCGGTGCCCCAAAACCGGTTTATACCCTTAGCCGGGTCAAGCCTGCGCCTCTATGTAAGCCTTCGGATTGCCTAGAGAGCCATGACGGAGGTAAACCACACAGCCTACAGGCCTCTAACTTCGAAAGGACCTGCCAACACAAGTTAATAAACTCCGCAGAAGGATCACCTCTGATGATGGCTTAACGATTTTCCCTTGGATCAAACTCCTGGGTACCGACACCCTCCAAAACACCCGAAACGCGTGAGTTATCGGTTTAGAGTTGTTATAAGGTGTGTTGTTGTCAGAGTCTCAGGTTGGGGTTTGTGTGCTTTAGAACTTTCGGGTAGTGGGCGATCCCTGCATATGAACACAGGGGACCCTTACGACGTACGATAGATCCCCGTTTTTTTTGAGGATCCTGATTGAGAAGGGACCCGGAAGTTGCAGAAACCCCTGATGAAGGCTAAAACTTGCCTCTCTTTAATCAATCTAAAACTTGGCTTTAGGTCCCGGTACTTCTTGTTTTTCTGACACACAACGCGCGAGCCCTGTGAAGCGGATGTGTTTCGCGACACCTCACCATAAGGCTCCGGCAACGCAAACGGCTCGTCCCAAAATCAAAACAGCGCAGAATAAGAACGAGCACCATCAGAAAGACCTACAGCCCAAAAACCCTCAACCCAAAACCCCACGAAGCCCTGCCTAGACCCCAAAACCTCGGCCCTCATACCTGGAACCCTCAACCCCTAAAGTCTGGATTGTCCGAGTTGTGAGCGCGGAGAACCCTAAGTTGCACACAGCCGAACAGTCCCGAAGCGCCAAGAAATCCAAGAAATCCTAAACCCCTCAATCTTACCTTTGGTTAGTAAGGAATGGAGGAATTGGGTACAATTATAGCTACTATTACTACCATTCTTCCATTCCATGCTAACCAAAGGTAAGTGAATGGGACCTAAAGCCCCTGAGCCCTCGGTCACTGGTGACCTTTGAAGCCTCGGCCAGGGCGCCCAAGAGGCGCTGAAGGGCCTCGCCGAAGCCGAGGCTTTTTTGGGACTTCGGGTTTCTTCGCTTCAGGAAAGGAGCTCAAAAGAGAGCTGTACTAGGGTCCTGCTTGGGCTCATGTTTCGGGTTTCGTACAAGGGTTCCGAAGGCTTCTTATTGGGTTTGGGGTTCAGGGCGTCATACTGACTTCTGCAAAGTTTTGGTTTGTGGTCTTTTTTCCAGGCAACTTGTACGGCTGTTGTTTTGGATACGTGTGGATTTGGGCTTGATGTTCGGGGCCTCGAGCTTTTTGGATTGGGGTGGAGGCTTGACGGACGTGAGCTTCAGTTGAACCTAGTTCAGGCTTCAGGATGCACGTAAGGTTGGAGGTGTGATGTTGTCTTAGCGGGTTCAGGGCTTGCAGTTGTTGCTGTCTGCTTTGTTCCTCGAGTAGCTGCTTGCGCTTTGGGCTGAGTACCGGCGACAAAAAGCAAAACGCACGTACCTCGTGCTCAGTATGTGGTGTCAGCCTTTGATGAGTTACAGCAAAATGTAGCACCACTGTGCAACAGGCTTGGAAGAGCCTCACAGTCCTATTCTGGATATGCAGAACCGCTTGGACTAAGGTTTCGATTCAAGGATGGGTTAGGGTGGAGGAGATATCAGTCCATGTGTGTCCAGGCATATATGATTCAAGAAAACCATGGGTCTGTCTGCTCAACGTTGAGGCTTCTAAGTTAGTGGTTCTGTTTGGGCCGTGATCCGGGATATTCAACCTGAAACCCTACGACTGACCCCGACACCCATAACCCCAGCCTCAAACCTAAGTAACAAGTCAAGAGTCCGAAACCTGAAAATTAAGCCCCAAAACCCTACGTTTTTGCCAAACCTCCACAGCCCAGATTGAAGCGTACTCTGCCTGTCGAAAGTCCTAGGTGTCAGGTCTGCCTGTGCAGCATGTTAGTGCCGGCTCTGATTCGGCACGTGAGTCTGTAGCCTTCTATCTAAACCCAGTTGTCGTGAGCCTTGCCCGACTTGAGCGCGTTGCGACAGCCACAAAAAAGCCTTAAACACTTAACCCGGAGCCCGTATACCGCACTCCCTGAACCCTAGTTTGGGGGGTAGGAAAGCTTGGCTGCGAACACCAGGTGCAGGGCGCTACGGTTGAGGTGGAGCTCTTGGCGGGTGAGGCGAACCCTAAACCCTCAAAAACACACGCCTACCGGTTCAGGATCTTGCAATTCAGCATTAGCTGTGAGTCGATTTGTTTTTCCCCTGCATGGGTTCCCGCACTCCTGACTTTGATTTTGATTTTGAACTCCACCCTAAGCAAAGCAGGCAGCCTTTACATAGCTGACGGGGTTGGCCAGAAGCTACTGCCAGTAGTAGGGTCCACCACTGCATCCAGTTCCCGAGGGCATGGTTTCGGGTGCGGGCTTGCGAGATTTATGTATTACCGCGGGGTTAAGATCTAGGATTTCGGGCATCCTCAAAGGCTACGCAAGTGCTCAAGCATATTCAATGCAGCAAGAGTCGCTAGGCCAGTAGCCGGGCGCAGGCATACCTTCGTTTGCATGCATGCACGCATGCATGCCTGTGTGTGCGCGCGCCTATCCTAGCGAGTTGTGAGTCTCAGTACAATGTATTGGTCTATAGATTTATGTGTACTTCGGCTTGCGTTTTCATGAGACTGTAACAGTGCGATGCGCTATCTTTGTGTGCAGAGGCACGTGCGGCTACATGTTCCTGTTGTGTGCGTCATGTTAGTCTTGTGCTTTTTACCCCGAAACCTTGAAACCGTCTGAAACCGAAACCAGAGATCCAATTCCATAAACCTTAGCAAAAAGCCCAGCTTTGCGTCGTCAATCGTAGCTTGCCAGGCCGAAGAGGCTTACTGGGAAGAGACGAACAGGTGGGACTGACTTCTCACTACTACTACTACTACTACTACTACTACTACTACTACTACTACTACTACTGCTGCTACTACTACTACTACGACTACTACTAGGGCCTACACCCTCTTAAACTGCGGGACCGGACCACTTTGATCACTAGAAGGCTTCTCCCCGCAGTCCGTTTAAGTATGGCTGTAGGACCCTGTAGGAACTATGAAGCGCACCCCAAAAATCCTCCTCCAAGTCCTGGGCCCTTATCCCAGTTCTGCCAGGCTTCAGGTCATGGGATTTATTGATAGAGATTTCAGAACTCGCTGAAACCTCACCGGCTTGCAGAGATTACGCAACGGCAGTAATTCAGTATGGCTGAAGCACCACGTAGTGTTGGATAGCTTGTAAGTTTAGGGGCCACCTCACCCCTGTAAGATCCCTGATTGCGCTCCAAACTGGTCTAAGTTTCGGGGTTCTACTGGGGTTTCTGCGTCAGAGAGTGAGGGCTTATCCTTACCCGTCCAGGGCTCAGAGAACGAGGCGGCCTATGCCCCACGGCTCAGAGCACTGCTGGGTGGTCGTTGGTGGCCCTAATCAATATAATTCCGATTCTGAGCACTAGTTCCGCCTATCACATTCACAAGCATCAGGAGCCTGTGCGGAGGGCGTGTGTTGATGTGTGAAACGGCGCAGCAAGTGCCCGGAGTGCCCGGATGGGAATTCATCCCGTCGCAAACGTGTGCTTGAGATTCGAGAGCTCTGGCATCAGTCAAAGCAGAACAGGCAAGCAGAGCTTGCACGACTATATCGGGCGGTGGCTGAAATAAATGCCAACTTATAGTGCTAGTAGTACCTGCATGACTCTTGTGGTACGACGAGTAGTCAGCTTGCAAGACCCGGAGCCCCTGCACCCCCGGAAGTGAGCATCCCACACCCCGAAACTCATCACTCTGTGCCCCCAAACTCACCGAGACTCGACCCCGAAACTGTGGGTACCCATACCGTCAGGAAGCTCAAAGAGGCCTGGGAGAATCCAAAGCCCAAGGGCAAGGACAAGGGCAAGGACAAGGGCAAAGGAAAGGGCAAAGGCAAGGGTAAGGCTCGCTGCGAGGGCTTGGGGCTAAATGGTTTCTTGTGGTCTTGAGTTTAGAGCTTAGAGCTCAGGACAAGCTCAATTCGAAATCCCAATTAAACCATATGGTTTCTGACTTGAGAACAGTGAATCTCAAGCCTCAAATCGTAAACCCGAAACTCCAAACTCTTCGCACAAGAACTCTACGCCTTACCATTTACAAGTTCGAAGCGCTCAAACCCACGCGAAACCTTCAGCGCATAAGCCTCAAAGAGTTTCTTGTTCTTGTTGTTGTTGTTGTTGTGGCTTAGGGGTTTGAGGGAAGGGGATTTTGGCATCTAGGTTTTGCATTTATGCCGCTTCGTACAGCGTAAAAGTTTGAAATTTCGTTCAACTGATTGTTTATAATGTGCTCAAAGGATGTCGGGGCAGCCTCTGGGCGTGTGTAGGGTTTCGCCTTGGGGTGGTTTGGCGTGTTTTCGGGTTTTTGCCGGCTTCCTTCTCTGCCGGTATGCGTGCTACTCGTCCGATCGTTATTTGCTGTTTTGTTTGGTTGGTCTTACAGGCTACAACAAGCTTGTCTGCAGTAAGGGTTTCGTTTTTTTCTGTCACCGTGTGACTGCTGCTGCTGCTGCTGCTACTACCACCACCACGACTAGTACTCCTACTACTACTACTGCTGCTGCTGCTGCTACTACTACTGCTGCTACTACTACTACTACTGCTACTACTACTACTACTACTACTACTACTACTACTACTACTACTACTACTACTGCTTTACATTTGCGTCAGTCACTGGCCCTTCTTCCTGCACCTACCCAGACGGTCGAAGTACCAATGGTTAGATATGGCTAGGGCATTTATATCTGTGATGTTTGGGCGGCCAAAAATCTTCTGCCACATTCATGGCAGCAGCAACGTTCAGTCAGCTGGCTTGTTTTATCCCCCTGCTACTCCAGGGTTCAATCCTAGTAAGCCAATCGGCCCGAACCCCAAACCCAATACGCCCCGTGCTCCAAGCAGTAAACCCTAGAAGAACAGACGCTTCCATTGGCCCGCCCCGAAAGCACCTCAAGCAACAACCCTTCAAAACAACCCGGTACTGCATCCTGTGAACCCACCAACAAAGGCTAAGTTCTCCGAAACCCAAACGACAAGGACTTCAAATCCCCCAAAGTCCAGAGCGCCTTACATGGTCAGGGAAAGAAAGGCGGCAAGCATAAGCACAAGGATGAGGATTGAGGAGCCGCTTGTCTCATGTGCCTAACCATTACTACTATACTACTAAACATATTAGGGAACAAAATTTTTCCCGCTAAACATATTGGGGAAAACTATGTTGCCCCGGTATGTTTAGAACCTCGCCTGGCTGCCTGGCGTCTCCGAAACGCGAAGGATCCACTGGTGGCTCCCGGGCCGATTTCTGAGGGTTTTTGCCGGAGCCCTGCAAAGAAAATCGGTCCCTCTTGGAGCTCCTAGTCTCTTAGCATTTAAGGGATTCGGGTTTTGGGAGGTTGTTGCATTGTTTTGGGTCTGTGTTGGGATCTCTTCTTTTTTCGAACTCTCAGAAGTCGAGGACATAAAAGTGTAAAGTGCTTACTACCGGAGCCTCACGCATGTTTCTTCAATACGGTTTTGAACTTATGCTTGGAAGCCCCCATTCCGCTTGTGTTGCTTGGCCCAAGACGTTTTGAATGTACGGCATGCCCGCTTATCAAGCAAACACATGTCTTTTCTGCAGGGCCTCGTGCGACCCTTATGATAGTGGCCCGAGGATGCACATGGACTGGGTTCGCTAAGGGTTCGTCGTTTCGGTTTCAGGGCGTCTAAGTTTGGATTTCGGGTGGAAGAATGCGCTGAAAACTGATCCGTCTCTTTGTGTGCTTCCTTGGGCGCCCACACGCGACTCCGTCTCAGCCAGGGCATAGCTGCTTTCAAAAGATTCGCCAGGCTCCCCTTCCCCAAAGCACGTGTCTTAGCTATACCTTCAGCAGCTTCAATGCTCTTTGAAGCTGCTTCCCGCACTTCCGAATATTGGAGCCACCCAGGAACCCGAAATTTCTGAACCTCTGTTCGTACTCGAAAGACGGAGCCCCGTAGGCGAACTAAGGGGCCGTAGTGGTCCAAGACGAATCGTTTTACTTGCTGGGTTGCTCGAAGTTACGTACGTAGTATACACTCTCAACCTCTACCCTTGAATTTCCTTCAGTGTTGCGGAAGTCAGGAAAGGGAATCTAAACCCTATATCCTCATACAAGATTCCATACTTGAGACTTGAGATGTAACCCCTGTATCCCCATACAAAGTTCCATACTTGAGATGTAACCCCTGGATTCCCTAGATGAAGAAAGAGGCTGAAACGAGCAAATGTTTGTGCAGCTGCCAGCCTCTTTGTTCTGGCAGCAGTAGGCCAGGATGCCAGCTGCGAGTCCGGAACCTAAGGCTTCATGACTGGTAGTAGTACGAGTAGGAGTAGGAGTAGTAGTAGTAGTAGTAGTAGTCGTAGTAGTAGCAGTAGTAGTAGTCGTCGTAGTAGTCGTAGTCGGAGTACTAGTACTGGTGGCAGTAGTGGTAGTAGTAGATTTCTTTCAAAGCCTTGTAGAAAGAAGAGGAGAAACCTGGCCAGAAGCTTAGCCTGAAAGAGAATCGACGGTGTAGTCCATGGGCCACTGCATGGACTCAGAGCCGAAGGTAAGAGTCCCAAACCCTGAAGCTCTGCACCCATTTTCACCCTCTGAAGCCTTGGAGCTCAAGGCCAAGATCTCATCATCGTCCTCATATCACGAAGCAACCCGGACCCGAAAACCTTGGACTGCTAGGACTTGCAGCAGAAGGATGGTGAGTCGAGACCCTCAAAGTTCATCTCAACCCGAAGCCTTCAAACCCTGGATCTCTGGTACCGCACACAGCTGTTAAAAGCTCGCTCTGAATTACTTGGCGCACGTTGAGGAACTGCTATCACTTCCGAGGGAATGCTGAGGTGTCTATGTGCTTGTGCTTTGAGGGAGCAATGCACTATGGTTCCTCAGATTTTGAGTAGGGCTCATCATCATCATAGACGTAAACTGAGAAAGAGCACAATAGTCATATTCGTCATAGTAACAGTCATCATCTTATTACAAAGCTCTGGACTCGCCTAGGAGCTCAGGGGGAGACTTAGGCCCAGGCCCCCGAGAGCCGAAAAGCCCAAAACCCCGAGGCCGGGAGAAGGGGGTCTGAGCAAAAAACAAGGTGGAAGAAGTCATATAATGGTTCTATAATTAATATACCATAACTATTACTATAACTAATTTACCATAAATGTACTATATAATAATAGTGTTACCAGTAGTAATTGGTCGTGCTGGCACCTGCACGTGCCTTTGGCGGCATACCACAGGAGGAGCACGCAGATCAAAGGTGAGCATTTACAGCACAAGGTTTTGAGGACTCCAGCAGCGGCTGTGGTTTGGAAGACCCTGGCACATCCTGGAAACTTGAAGGCCTCGAACTTCTGGTGTGGGGCACCCCCGGAAATCCATAACCCAAAACCCAGAGAAGACATTACCCCTAAACCTCGAACCTCAATCTCTAAACCTACCCTGGATCAAAAAGTCAGTACACATTAACAAAATAATTACCCTGAATCCTAATGCCCAGACCCTAGGATGTTCCGAGCCTTCAGTTTTCTTGGGTTCTTGGCCTCCCTCACCGACACAGCGAAGCAGGAGGGAGCCGAGAGACCCGATTGAGCCGAGGAGGAAAAGCGACTTCCTTGGGGCATTCACTATGTCATCTTTGTCATGAGTAGTCTGATTACGATTGTCTATGATTCAAGTACGATGGTCATGACTATTACGAGTTGTTTTACCTAGTATCGTTACAAGTACCGATGGGGTCCGAACAATTCGTAACCATGTTCCCTGAACTACGCATATCGTCATCATGTAGCATATGGGTCCGACGAATCAGTAGTACTATCCTGCTGTAGTGTCCTACTCTAATCCTGACGCATTCAGTTCCTTTTCTCCGGGGTCTTCCAATTCATGGATTCTACAAGTCCGGCGAGCATAGAAAATCCTGCGTCGAGTGGGCGACATCAGGCCGACGTTCACCGCGGTGGTGTCCGTGCTGCAAGCAGACGGCCGTTGGAGGCGGCCAGAACCGCCTCGACATTTTCGGGTGTGGGATGCTTTGGATTTGATGTGAATCCACGAGTCAAGCTTATGCCAGCGTAGATCCAAAAAAAGTGAAAGCACGACGACCGTGACTTGCCTGAGTGTTTTTGCAGTCTAGTTCTTCAGGCAGACTTGGTGAACTGACATGATGGCGCAAAGGATATAGGTGATTTCAGGATCATGGGAGATGGGATGTTTGGGTTACCAAGCTGCGACATGTTTGTGTTTTTGTGTTTTGGATGTTCTCGAACCTCAGTTACACATTAGCAAGCAATCTGTTTGAAACAAGTGTTGCATTGATTCCATTAGACATTGAGGGGGAGTGTTAAGTTCCATTTGGGACGAAGGGCTGCGCTTCGTTCTCGGATTTCGGATTCAATCATTGAGGTGGCGTGAGCACTTCTGAATTCATTGAGTTGAGGGGCTAAGGAGATGAGTCCGTCACACAACTTCAGATTTGCAACTCGGGCTTGCGGGCTGGGACAATAGAACCTCAAACTTAAGCCCCCAAAGCTCTGTGCCAAGCCATAAACCCTAAAGCTTCAACCCCAAACTAGATCCTGAGCCCAAAATCGAGAACGAACCTGAGGGTGCTTGCAGGTGGCTTAACAAAGAAGCCTAACCAAACGCCCAGCAGAAAACCGCTTTTCTGACTCTGCGAGCTGGAAACATGTTCTTGCAAAAAAAGCTTCAAAACTCGAAGCCACCCTAAGCCCCCAACACCCCAATCTTGAACTCTAGCAAGGCTCTCGCTGGGTATCTTGGAGGAGATGCAGGAGACTGAATAAGTGGTGGTCATGGTTTTGTCATGTGGTGTCTTGGCTGTAGGAGACAGCCTTGGAAGAAGGGGAGACGTTGTAGTAAGCAAGGTTCGTGAAGGTTGGGATTCAGGGCCCAGAGTTGAGGTTTAGGAGGGGTTTAGCCAGGATCCCCCAGTCGGGGCTTTCAGGGTTTCGGGATGGTTCGGTGTGGGGTCATAGCACGCGACATGTTGCAAGGCTCCCTCCCGACCCTAAGGACAATTCCTCCAAGCACGATGATGCATCCTTGTGTGGGTCGCTTTTGCCAACGGCACGGCCATAACAAGATAAAATCCGTAATGACCTCAAAAACACAACTCAAACTTGTTTGCTTGCATCGATTCGAGACGGTGAACATGGCCAAGATGGTCCTGCACCCTACAAGACGTTGTAGGGCATGTCCCAGCGTCGCAGCTAATATTCAAACTCTTGTAATGGTTCAGGAAAAGTGCATGCTTAGCACCGACAACCTGGATAACCGTTCGACCCAATCTGCTCTGGCCACTTTTTCTTCCCTCAAGCCTGGAAATTTGACCTGAACAGCACGCAAGTAGTAGCGAAAATTAAGGCCCGTTGTCTTGGACCCCCCAAAGTGTACAGGAGCGCGTCACTCTAGCAATGGACCCTCATTCGGAGAAACCCCTACAGGCTTTCAAGAAACCCCTCCAAACACGCAGCCCAAGGAAAGCCCTTGTCTAAGCAAGGAGCCTCCGTTGATTGCTCTTCGCACGAGTCCTACTTCCATATGCTTACCCTGGATATGTATACGACGACGAAAAAGGTACTTGTGTACTTCTTGCACTGATGCTTCAAAGCGGCAAACATGCAATAAGTACTCCAGGAAGAAGAACCTGAAGTGTTGGGCCACTGTTTCAAAACAATTGAGCCAGACACAAGAAGCTTGGGCGCTAAATCCACGTACGCCTGAGCACGGCTGCACCCTGAGCACAGCAGGAGTCGCGCCTTGAAGCTGCGGGGGCCCGAGACGTGAATGAGTACTCGTGGTAGGTAGCGAGTCATCGTGGGTTTCGTATGGAAGTACTGCAGTGTTTTACTGATTAGCACTACTCCCATGATTTGGATGTTGTACGGATTCTTGCCAGAGCTGGTGTGTTGCAAGGGCGCTGCCATGTCTGTCCGGGAACATTTTGTCAACGGCACCTCCCCGAGACTCCAACAGGCAGTGTTTTAGAACAGGATCCAGAATGAACTCTTTCATCGGGGATTCTCCATTACACAGTCACAGGATCCGCTCTCAAAGCATTTGATGTGGTCGGGCCGCTGC